CTTTAACCTTTTCGGGGCCCAGAGCAGGAGTACAAATAGAGACCCACCTACCATAAGTCAAAATATTTATAAGTTATAAATTAGACTCATAAACTGATAAAGTCTACTCCACTTGCCTTGACACATGTACTTTGATAACAATCTGGAAGACCAGGTCTGAATCCAGAGTTCTCAGACTCTTCACCCATCCCTAGCATGTGGTATCCCCCTGCTTCTCATCTATGGCTCCACCTCACACCTTGGACAGGCTTCATTGACAGAAGCCTGCAGGTCCAATCTCTGTTCACAGCTTCCACAAATAACCAGCCTTTGGCCACCTCTCTGTCCTAAGGTACACACCTGTATCAGGAGGTGTATACCTTCTTTTCTCTTACCTTCCCCACCAAAGAAAACATGTAGGTCCTGGAGGTTGTCTTAGGAGCCTTTGGGCTCAGAATTTCAGAGTCTTGGATATGTGGGATATGGTCTGGAGGGAGAAGCATGGGCTATGGGTAAGGGGTACAGCCAGAGGAGGGCCACAGTAGAGCCCTCAGCTCAAGCCTTTCTGCCTTAGTCTAAAAGCAGCTTTGGATGAGGAACCAGGTTAAGTAACATACCTAAATGTGCACAGGTAGAAAGTGGTAGAGTCAGAACTGCGCAGCGAGAAGCAGTAGTACTTCAATCAATCAGGCCAAATCAGCTGAAACAAGAGGACTGATTAATGAATTGCTTGGGGGTGAGGGATCAAGCCTATCAGGGAGATCCTTCTAGGAAGATTATTGTTTAAAATCTTGAAGGAGTAGGGCAGGGCCAGGGCCAGAGGTAGAGGACAACATTGCCTACAGCCCTTGTCCTGCACCCAGAGGCGAAGGGATGGCGATCAATTTGGCAGAATGAGAGCTGTGCTTATGGGGTGCACAGGAGGAATGAAGATGGAAGAGTTAAGTGGTCATTATCCAAAAGGAACGGGAGAGGTACATAATCATATTTAGGTGTAAGGGCTAAGGGAGAACAAGAGAGCAAAGATGACTCAAAGGTTTATTCCCTGAATGACTAGGGAGATGGTGAATTATTTACAGAAGTAGGGACCAGAAGGAGGCTGAGGGGATACTCGGCTTTTAAAGTTGGTATTATGGGTTAATAATGAGAATGCTGGTAGTGTGAGAGAAAAAACAAGTGTGCAGAGTCTTGGAGCTATATCGAAGGAGTATGCGGAAAAGAGAACTGCCAGAAACAAACAAAACAAGCCCTCACAAAAAACTCAGCAGTGAGTTTCTGTGGGACAAGAATCCTGATCTGCACAGAGGTCATTAAGTATGACATACAAAGAAGGGAAACCCCTGGATTTAGCAATCAGAAGTTAAGTCCGTAGGGATGGAAAACCATTTGCAAGCATTTGAGGCTACATAATAAGGGAGTAAAGGAAATGAATACAGATAGTTAAAAAAAAAAAAAAAATTAAGCCTGGCTTTCAGAAAAGGAGTGAGATTAGAGATTTGTTTGACAGAAAAGTAGGCCCCAGGAAAAAAACTGACTTCTTCTTCTTCCTTCTTCTTTTCTTATTATTTTTTCTTCTTCTTTCTTATTTATTCTTCTTATGTGTAAGGATATTTGTAATATCCTTGGCTGAAAGGATGCATGGAAATAGGAAAGACTAAAGATATGATTACTTTGATAAGATACACCCATCCCTTGCCTCTACTCTGCTTTGTCAGAGGAGTAAAGAGCAGATGCCACCACTATCCAGCTGAAGACCAGCTGTCCTGAGTAAAGGTAACCCTGTTTATTGCAATCATCACATGAAGCTAGGGCTTCCAGGTCACCCTTCTCAGGTGAGCTTCACCTCCACAACGTCAGGGCTTCTCTGCCCTCACCTGGCCTTGTCCTCCTTCCCTCCATTATTTTTCTTCATAGCACTTAGAACTATCTGACATGTATTCACTTATTGTTATTATGGTTGTTTTGTCCCTAATAAAATGGCAGCTACAGTTCTTAGAACAGTCCCTGGCACAAAGCAGGACACAGCACATGTGTGTGGAATGAAGCATGTGCAGCAAGGAGGAAGGCATGGTGAATGGGGCAGGAGTCCAAAGCAGGGTTGGGCAGACTTTACCTGTAACCAGTCAGATGGTAAATGTTTCAAGTTTTGCTGGCCACAAACAGTCCATGTCACATATTATTCTTTGTTGTTTTGTAAATAATCCTTTAAAAAATGTAAAAGTCATTCTTAGCTCACAGGCCACACATAAACAAGCTGCAAACCTGACCGCTGCTTGTCAGTCACTATGAAAGTCAAGGAAACAAGATTTAGAGCACGAGTGAAGATGTTGGGTGAAAAAGAAAAAGGATACATCCTCCTCTGGACTGTGAGTGAGAAAACAGATGAAATATAAAGAACAAAGGAAGGAGTTCATGTCAGTGGCATCAACCTCCTAGTGAGGAAAAAGTGAAGTCTATAATTAGGTGTTAAACACTTGAAAAGTGAGGAAATTTTGAAAGAATGGGGTGGCTAATCATATAGAGATGAATAAGAAAATTGATAAGCAACATAAGATTCAGCAAAAGTTGGAGAACATGAATCTGTGTGCTAGAAGACTAGGGAAAACGTTGATCCTGAGAATTTTAACTTGTGAGCTTAAAGCAATGCTGCACAAAATTCTCAAGATGGTTGGCCGGGCATACCAGTTCAGAATAATTTGGGTTTTCTCCTTTTTTTTTGAGACAGAGTCTCATTCTGTTGCCAAGCTAGAGTGCAGTGGCTCGAATTCGGCTCACTGCAACCTACACCTCCTGGGTTCAAGCAATTCTCGTGCCTCAGCCACCTAAGTAGCTGGGATTACAGGCACGTGCTACCACACCCAGCTAATTGTTGTATTTTTAGTAGAGCTGGGATTTCACCATGTTGGCCAGGTTGGTCTTGATCTCCTTACCTCCTGATCTGCCCATCTCGGCCTCCCAAAGTTCTGGGATTACAGGCATGAGCCGCTTTGCTCGGCCTTCTTATACTATTGTTGATAAAATTGCTTCTAGAAACAACAAAGAAGTATGAACTAATTAGTAAATTATAACATCAACAATTAACATTTGTTTATTAATAAATAATAGCCTAAGCTATTTAAATAAATAGTGTAGGCCCCAAGCTATTCATTTGTTAATGGCTAAGCTACATGTTATATGTGAGTTCTAGCATTATCTCTGATTTACAGATGAGGAAACTAAAGCTTAAGAGAAGTTAAGAAACTTATGCAGAGACACCACACACACACACACACACACACACACACACACACACACACACACACTCTCAAGTGACAGAACTGTATGAACCCAATCAAGTCTGTCTGACATCCAGTCCATGCTCTTATCGCAGTAGGGTGCTGATTAATGCATTGCTATCAATATGAAAGGAGTGTCTACTGATAATTCTAGTCTTCACCCTGTCATGTTCAGCATTTTTATATTGCTTTTGATGAGCACACAGTGTACTTATTAAATTTTTCAGTATTGTAGAACCAGGAGAAAGAGAATGCATTAGCTAACAGAATAAGAATTTAGGATTATTATCTCCAACTGGAGTGGTTCACCAAAGAAGAAATGTAATAAAGATAAAAACATAACCCTTTACTGAGGTCCAGAAACAACTGTCCAAGTATACTGTCTTAGCTGTTGGGTCTGTAGGGGGGAAAATGATTCTAGGTTTTAGTCACCTCACTTTAAGGACTACAGTGAACTGTAACTTGTTCGGAAGAAAATAAAATAGGGAAGCTGTTCAAGACGACATCATTGAAGGAAAAATTAAAGAAACTCATAAAGTCTTGGAGCAAGAAATCATGATGGTGATAGGGCAGGAGAGAGAGCAATGTCTTCAAATATTTCTGAACATTTTCACATAGAGGATAAATTAGATTTGTTCTGTGTGACCTTTGTGGTCAGAACTAAGAATAATAAGTAGAAATTTCAGAGAGCCAGAGTTTGTCTTACTGTGAGAAAATAGCTCCTTCCAAATTAAACCCATTCAAAACTGTAATGAGTTGCTTTGGAAATTAATGCTCCTGCTATCACTGGACGTGTTTTAAACTGAGACTGAACTCTCATTCATTAGAACTCACTCTATAAGACCTCTAAAGCCCTGGCCAGCACAACATTTTTGCCCCTGCACATGTCAGATGAATAAAGCATTTCTATATTATTTTTTCAAAAAAGTAACTTAGCAGCTTTCTTCTGTACCGTGTTTGCAACCTGATTTAGTAGTGTTAGCTATATGATGGTATATATTACAAAACTTCTGTTTTGAACTAAGCTGTACAAATTCTAATTTTTCACTTGGAATGTGACAAGATGTTCTGCACACCAAGTTAGGCTTTGAGTATTTCTTTGAAAAGGATTTGTACTTTACTTGTGTATAATTATTGCCAAAGATTATACTGAATTTGTATCATATTTCTGCCAATATTTCTTCTAAAGCCATATCCCATGATTAATTTTCATTTAGTTTACTTAACACCATAGCGTTTTCTGTAAAGCAAATGTTTTCAAGAAGTGCCTTAAAAAGCTCCCTTATCTTTTAGCATATTCAATTCTAATATACACAGTGAAGTTGTTTCAGGAGGGACATAATCTTTTGCCTTTCTGAGACCATTATAATTCGTTCTTAAACTTAATTCGGTGATCTGTCTTGTAATGTTTTTGTCCTGTGTGTGTGTGTGTGTGTGTGTGTGTGTGTGTGTGTGTGTGTATGCATACACACACACACACACACACATATATATTCAAAGCTTTGATTTCTCAACATTATCAATAGAATGTTAACTGAATATGTGTTTTAAAACCTCTAGCTCGCTTTTCTGAAGTTATTAAAATCTCTTTTTATTGTTTACTATCACTAAGTCTTTCTGACATTTATGAACAGAGTTGAAGCAAAAACTAGAAAACCTTTATATTTTCAGTTTTAATGCTTTAAAGCTTACCTAATAATCAGTAGGCCTACTACTTATTGAAAAGAAATACTTTTTTTTTTTTAGGTGTTATCCCTTTTCATGGATTTTCAATGTATGGTAAGTTGGGCTTTAAAAACATCATGATGCACACCATAAGAACATACAATGTTATCTGTCAATTAAAAAAAATAATGACTGACAAATATAATTGTCTTATTGTAGTAAGACAATAAAGGAAAAAGTAAAGTGAAATGCATGCTAGCTTCCCATAGGTGCTTAATTTTTAAAAATTAGTGTTTTTATTACATATTAGAAAATTAAAAAGAATACCACTTCATTTCTAATCACCCACAAGTTATTATGAACATTTTTAAATGTTGAGTTTAGTAGGCCAGTTGAGTTTAGTGGCTCATGCTTGTAATCCCAGCATTTTGTGAAGCTGAGATGGGAAGATCACTTGAGGCCAGTCAAGACCAGCCTGGTCAACATAGTGAGACCCTATCTCTAAAAAATAAAATAAAATGTTCAGGTTAGTATTTTTATGTGTCCAATTTTAAAATTTTAAAAATAAAACCATAATTGGTTAGGTGACGATTGCTTGACAAATTAGAATTAGAACATACTGTGAAAATGGTCCTATGGTTTACCATTTTTTAGTCCAATGAAAACTGGAGATACACATTAATATTCAGTTCTAATAGGTATACAATCAGATTGTTTAAATTCCTAAAGTAATTCTCACAAGAGTTTTTAAAAAATAATAAGTGAGAAAGAATCCTAAGGAAGGGACAACACTGAGTTTGAGCTCATGATTTCTCCAGGCTACTGATATGCACAACAGTTACATCAGAGCATTCAGTCACCCGAGGTGCACGTGGAAGATGCATGTGCAGGCTTGAGAGCTCTTAGTGCCTCCCAGGCCTCGTGTGTCATTAAGTGAGGGATGCAAGAAGCTTATGAAGATTAGCAAAAGGAAGAACTCTCTATATCTTAATGCCACTTAATTTTTAAATTTTTAAGTATTCCATATAAACTTGTTAAAAATTGTTGTCCCCTTTATTTCTACACTCTACCTTAATGGTAGGAATACATTAATGTTTTGCCTTTGTGCCAAGAATCTGCAATAAACACTTTTCTTTATTAAAAAACACCTCAGTGTTCAATATCAGATGATCATGTTGAATGACGTAATATAAAATCATCATTCAATGAAAAAAATTCAAAGTACCTAGGGACTTTATGCTATATTTGGTGTTAGTCACAGGCTTGAATTATAGGATACTCAGCTTTATTCTTTTGGACAAGCACAATTTCATAATATAATACATAATATTACAGTGATCTTACAGCATATTTCTCTTATAAATGTGAGGAATTTAAAATAGAAAACCAAAAAAGATTAATAATACAAATTTTTATATCTAATAATAAAAATGTTCACCTTTTTATCTTTCTAATAGTTCCAACTGCAAGAATTTTTCAAGTAAATCATTTTTAGAACTTGTACTTTAATGATTTGGAGGATACTTGATGTCATGAAAGTTTAAATCTTCTAGAAAGATCTTCTGGTGTTTAAAATATATCATTGACTCAGCCTCTGCCTATTCATATTTATGGTCATTTAATAGGCTACAGTTTATACACCCAAGGGGAAAGCATTTGCTAACAATGATGCAAAATGTTTGATATAGAATTTATTTATACTATTTTAGGAAACTATTTTAAGCATCCACAAAAACTTTACCAGCAACCACTTATTTAGAACCAGTATACAGGAATAATCACAAATCATCCTTAAGGAACTCTAGTTAGTACTTTGCCACTTCAGTTTTAGTTACTATATTTTTAAAAAATTATAATACTTGTCTCTTTTAAACATTGATACAGATCTTTAATGATAGGCTGTCATTCAAAAGGAAACCAAAATGATAGTACTTTATTTAAAAATTTACTCAGGAACTCTTCTCTAATTTAAGATACCTTCTACTCTTCTATTTATGCAAAATACTGAAGTTTTATTGTAGGTGTATAGTATATTATGGTTTCATAAATAAATTCCTACAGTATAGTCTTTAATTGGTTTAAAAGATAGCTAAATTTATTTTTATGGAAGAACTAAATAGGGAAAGATGCTTAAAATTAAAGATTAAGTCATGTAGAATCTTTTTACATATAATCTATAGTGGACTAAAGCTTTTCCATTTCATAGATATAAAAGGGAATTCGATGTAAATAATTGTGGTATCTTGAATAAAAACTAATTGTAAATTTCTTTTATAGTATATATATTTGTAGAAAAGTGCTTATTTTAAAATTCTCTTTTCATTTCTTCACTGGAAATTTTTATTACGAATACTGAATCCATAACGCCTTCAGATTCAGATTATAGGTTTTCACATAACAACTAAAAATTAGAGGAAAAAAATACATCATGTTTTAAAAGTAAATAAATTCGAAACCTTCATCTTAGATTTATAATAATGACATATATCTGTACCACACTGTTTTTTCTTAGGTTATTGTTGCAATTAGAGCATGAGTTACTATTTGTAGATATATGTAATATCCTAATTTCGGCTATTTTTATAAGTAGCAATTTATTTAATAATAAAGTAAATTTAAAAAAATAGTTTTGAAATAGACATGCCTGTCTTTTAAAAATTTTATATTTACTATATATTGTATATACATTTTTCTTTATATATACAAGTAGTTACTTTTATATATACTTAGATATTTACCCCAAAGAGTGATTTCTCTTTTGCCCTTCAGAAAAAATAAAATTTCCCACTTAAAATGCTTATTTTTAATGACTTATTCAACAGTAGTACTGTGCATTGCCCTTCATCCCAGAAAATTGAAACTTTGTCTTTGAAAGCATTTAAAATATTTTATTATTTTTCCTTTTTACTTTGTCAAAAAGAAGAGAGCTAAACTGGCCTACTGATTTCCTTGCTTACTTTGTGCTTATTGCCCTAACAGCATGACCAACAGATTATAGAGCCCCAGAAAGTCTTACTTGTACAATATACATTGTTTGAAATTACCTTGTAAGGCATTTTTTATTAAAATTAATATTTAGGTAACACAGTTGTATGTATCTGCATTATAAATTTGTCTCTGTGCTACCTAAAACACTTGAGGCTTAAAAAGATGGAAAGCATGACCACTTTTGTCAGTGTAGAATAATCACATGCTCAGGTAGGTCTCCAATCCAAGATTAGGACTTTCTGACATTCAACTGTGGGATGTCTGGTTGAGTTGACCCAACTGTGCTTAATTGCTACAAACTGGGTGCAATCAATTCAACATTCATTAGAGAAATAAATTCTCTCTGCCTAAGGATTATTTTCAGTTGATGAATATATGTGGGGATATAGCAATAATGACCAGTGTACCACTATTACTCAAAATCTTTATTTTCAAATTGAATTAATTGAAGACCATGCATGATTCTAAAAGTCATAAATCATTTATCTTACTTACCTGACTTCCAAAATTGAAAATTTTGAAATGTGGCCTTAATTCTTTGTGAGCGAAAGTAAAAATAAGCTACCTGATTGTTATTTTCTTAATACTTAAATTTAAAAAAGGAGAGACTTGACATGGGTAGTTTTTATAAGTTACTTGGAATGTTTCATATTTCTATATAATTCCATAATGTCACTCTTAGCCATCTGTTAAATTGGGATTATAATAGTTTGTAATATACTACTCCCTTTCTAATATTTAGTGGCTCTTTGAACTTGACATGTGCATATGTTCTCTCAAAATGAAAAAACAGTATGATTTTAAACTTGTCTATGAGTGTGTATTACTATAAAATAGTGATTTATTATGTCATGTTTTACAAATTTATCTCAAAATTTTAGTAGTTCTGCAGTATTATAAATTAATTTTTTTATTTCAGTTGCACCACTTTGTTTTCTGTACCATGAACCTTCCAAATTGTATCAAATATTCCGTGAGATGTATGTGCGTTTTTTCTTCAGACTTCATTCCATCTCTTCTCATCCTTCTGTAAGTTCATAAGAAAAATTGGATCAAATTAGGTTGGATCATAATCTGTTCTTTCTTTCTGTTAAGAAAAAGTCTTCTCAAATTCTAAAGCAACAAATTTTAATTTGCGATGTCAAGCAATGTGTTTCTATTGGAAAAATGATGGAGAGGATGAAATTGATATTTAAATATTTTGGTAATAATTTAAAAGGAAAAAGACTCTTGCCAACTACATTTAAATGATTTTTTTTCTTTTACATATTAAAAGAAAAAACTTAGAATGTCTGTATTATTATTCTTAACAAAGATGCCTACCTTCTTTTCTGATTTCTTATCTGTGAAATAAAGTAAATAATGTATTATCTCTAGTGCTGTAGAAAAGTCTACAAAGTACTCAGTGTAGTCAGCGCTTGGCTCCTAGCAGGTGTTCAGTGAATAAATGACTATTGTTGTTATAATTATCATTGTTATTATTCTTTGTTAATGAAAATCAAACATTGATTTGTCTCTTGTTTGTCAATTTCGTATATGGCTAATTATCAGTTGTAAACTACATATTTTCTTTGTATTCAATGAAATGCCCCTTTGGCCTACAATATAAGAATCAAGGAAAATAATATTTAGAAGTTGAACATTTTAACCTGTTTTATTTTGGCTGTTCTTTTATCATATCTTTTTTTTTCCCTTCCCATAAACCTAAGAGCAGTATTTATTTTATTTCAGTTATGCCTTTTTTCCCCCTTTGGACCTACTGTGGGTAAATTGACTGCTTCTTCAGATGAAACACTCAATTGGAATATATGTCAGGGCTACTAAATTTCCCCAGAGAAGCAACTGTATTATTGCTACTAAATTAAATAGCTGTTTTTCATCCTCCCTTCTAAGCCTATGTATTCATATTTTACCTTCCTCCATCTCTAGTTTTGTTCTCATACATTGCTAGTGAAAGTTGGCAAATCACAGAATTCCAGGATGTCACAGATAAACAAGTGAAGCAACACCAGTTATCTTGGTTTTCTTATCTATAAGAGAATTTTATTTTGTTCATATCTTACCTTAATATTTAATCTGGAATAATCAGAAATATGACCAATAATTAAGATTAATAATTCTTTTCTAATACTCATTTTAAATACTATATTTTTACTCTCATATTCTATGCCATTTTATGCTTCAGAGCTTAAAAAAAACTGGCTGCATAGTACACACCCATGGTGTTCTCCCTGTGCAGAGCACTGAAGCCTGACACTGGATAACTGGGTATTTCTTCTCTATCTCCATGCTGGTAGCCCTGAGGTATCTTTTTCAGATAATTGACTGGGCCAGCCCTGCCTCTGTCCTTTTTTTTTTAATTCAGTGCAATAAAAATTTACAGGCAGTCACCTCCTTTTTTGGCTTGCAGCCAGACTGAACTATTTGGAACCATGACAGTCTTTTTTTCTTTAGAAACTCAAAAAGAGGATTAAAACTTCCTTACAAAGATCAACTCTGAGGAATGCTAAGCTGCAAGAAAGACTTTATTCAGAGTTGTCAAATAATAAATGTACTTGAAAAACCATCTGCTTAAATGGGTTAAGTTTTGTACTTTACAAATAATGCCATTTTAAAAACAGTAGATTTTAGTTTAAAAAAAAAGTATATACTAAGTAATCAAACATTCTTGTTTAATAACTTCCTGATGCAAATTTCAAGCAGCTAGCTGCTAGTCTTTTCTTGGGGGTAGATTTCAAAGAAAGAGTGAGAAAAGCAGCAACTATTTTCCCTAGTGAGTGAGGCTGGAGGGGGAGGGACATATGGAGGGAGAGTGAAGGTGGCTATATAGCACTGGGGAAATAACTGGAAACTGGAATGCATTCAGAAAAAAAACTAATTTTGCTGGGGCTAAGTAATAATATGTGGCTTGCAAAGTAGCAAGTTTTCTGTAAGGTGGTATTTTCCTTGGACTCTCGAAATATTACATACTGTGTTATGTGGGGAGCATATTGTGTGAAAACGGAGTCTCGTTAGCATATCTTTATGTGTGAGTAAACATAAAGAGGGATAAAGTTGGCTGTGTGAGGGAGCTCGTACCTGTAATCCCAGCACTTTGGGAGGCCGAGGCGGGCAGATTGCCTGAGGTCAGGAGTTCAAGACCAACCTTGCCAACATGGTGAAACCCCATCTCTACTGAAAATACAAAAAATAGCCAGGCCTCGTGGCAGGTGCCTGTAATCCCAGCTACTTGGGAGGCTAAAGCAGGAGAATCACTTGAACCGGGGAGGTGGAGGTTGCAGTGAGCTGAGATCGCACCATTGCACTCCAGCCTGGGTGACAAGATCAAGACTTATTATAAAAAAAAAAAAAAGAGGGATAAGTTTATCTTTAAACACAATGTTAGAGATCCACTAATACATTTCCTGTTTTTGACTCTTAAACAGTATAAAGAATATTTATGTTGATAGTCTTTCTCATTTTCTCTTTGAGTAATTTGTTGGCATAGTTAATTTTTAAATATTAAAATCTCTATTTCTCTTATGATTCATTATTGTATCCAGGGTATTGTGTCACTCTGTCTGCTGTTTGAAACTCTTCTTCAAACTTATCTTCCCCAACTCTTTTATCACCTACGAGAAATTGGGGCTCAACCGTGAGTACTTTTCTCTCCTAATTGAAGAATAAATCGTTTCACAGAAGCTCTTTTTGCCTCATTGTAGAGCACTTGCAAAGAGGTAGTAATTTTTCAGAGAAATTAAGCTAACAATTTCTGTAATTAAACTATAATTATCAAGTAGTAAATTATAATAACATTGTGCCAAAAATTCTTGAAAGAATTACCAAAATCCTAATAAAGTCTTACTAGGATTTTTGTGTCTGGTACAAGAATCACCAAAATGAACTAATTTCTATTCATAATGAAAGTTGTTAGCCAAACTGAAGCAAACATTTGTGGAAACAAATACTACCTGAGAAATGTGATCATACTAAACTTAAGTCAGTACAGACCAAATTTATCAGAGAATAACCTATGAAAACTATATAAGTTAAAGTTGCAAAATCAGGTACCTACCAATGGTTGTACACTGTGATTTCTCTTTCCTAAAATTTGAATTTTGTTCGTTGGTCTCAGTATAAATGAATATGTAGAGTAACTCTGGACTTCAATATTATTGGTTCTCTCTCTCTCTTTTAAAATAGCAATGTCTAAAGCAAGAGAAAGTTCCAAATGATTTATCAGTGTTTTCTTCCTGTCCTCTGTGCAGCTATTTTCCTCCATTAAGGAGAGCATATCTGAAAAAAGTACTAACTCCTTGAGGGCACAAAAGAAGTTAATGGGAAATAGAATAGTGTAGTTATTTGTCTTCTCCACTTTTGAATCCATAGCAAATAGATAGCTGAGTGGGTGGAAATTTAATCCAGATTCAAATTCCATTTCTGTTAAGCTTTGTAATCCTGGTGAAGTTTTTTAATTTATCAAAGCCTCAATTTCTTTATATTAAGATAATTCAATTTGTTTGCCTTAAAAATCAAGAGACTTCATACCTTGCAGAGTTGTTTCAAGACTGCATGATTACGAAGATGGAGAGAGAGAGAGATAGATATATAATCTCCTTTTTATAAAGTACCATTGAATTTCGGACATCTTAGAGATGGCCTTTATAAAATAATACCTCATATCATCCACTGATAATACTGAACAGATACTCTTTCCTTTGTAGCCATTAAAAAACAAAATTCTATTCATGATTAAGATTATAAAACAATGTGACAGAAATATTTTATACTGAGCATAAGACTTTTGTTCTTAAACTTGTAGTAAATTGACTTCTTTTTTGCTGTTGTGAAATGAACATTGGAGTATAACTAGGCTTTTCTTTACTAGGATGAAGACATTTAGTTCATTACTAGAAACTAAAGTGGTATTTTTCTGCCTATTTATATATTTTACTCATTAAAAGAAACAAATTTATTTCAATGACATTATAAACATTAAAATTCCTATGTAGGAAAAGTATAAAAATTTTAATTTCAAAGTAGAAATCAATTTTTTTAAAACTAAAGCTTTTGGAAGGTTTTTAATTTTGAATTTAATTTCTTTAATAAACATAGGACTACTTGGGTTATCTATTTCTTTTTGAATGAGATTCAGTAGTTTATAACTTTTACTAGGTTATTATATTTATACATACAAAGTTATTCATAATATTCTCTATGCTTAGCCTTTTAAATATTTATAGGGTTAGTAGTGACATCATCTTTGTCATTCCTGAGATTAGTAATTGTATTGTCTCCCACTTTTTCTTGATTTTTCTGGCTACAGGTTTATCAATTTTATTCATCTTTGAAAGAATCAGTTTTTTGTTCCAATGATGCTTTTTCTCTGTTGTTTTTCTGCTTCAATTTTATTTCTACTCTTATATTTATTATTTTCTTCTTTTTGCTTGCATTAGATTTATTTTGCTCTTGTCTTTCTACTTGTTTAAGGTAGAATTTAGATTATTGATTTGGGACCTTTCTTCTTTTCTAATGTAAGCATTAATGTTACAGATTTCCCTCAAATTACCCTTTTTACCTCCACCCAACAAACTCTGATATGTTATTTTTTCTTTTTCATTTAATTAGAAATGTTTCATAATTTCAACTGTGGATTCTTCTTTGAATATGGGTTATATAAAAGTACGTTGTTTAATTTCCAACTATTTGGAAAAGTATCTTTCTGGCATTTATTTCTATTTTAATTCTGTTGCAGTTAGACAGCATGCTTCATATGATTTCAGTTGTTTCAAATATGTTGAATTTGTTTTTGGATCCAGAACATGATCTGTTTTGGTGAATCTTCCATGTGTACCTGAAAAAATTTGTATTCTGCCAGTATTCAGGCAGAATGTTATACAAATGTCAAGGAAATCAAGTTTGTTAATAATGATGTTCAAACCTTGTATACACTTAATTTTCTGTCTAATTTTTCTGTTGACTGTTGAAAGAGGAATATGAAAGGCTCTAATTATTATTGTGGACGTTGTCAATGTCTTCTTTTATTGCTGTATTTGTTTTTTTCTTCATGTATTCTGATGCTTTTTTTTTTAGTAGAATTGATCACTTTATTATTATGTAATGTCCCTTTATTCCTAGTAATAAATCTACTATGTCTGACATTAATATAGCCATTCCAGCTTTCTTTTGATTATAATTTGTGTGGTATATTCTTTTCTCTTATTTACTTAACATATTGATTATCAATATCTTTTTTAAGTGGGTTTCTTGTTAAAAGTGTATTATTGGATTGAAATCAACTATCTTGCTAAATTTTTTTAGTTGTTCCATGTTCTCCTTATTCCTTTTTTCTCATTCTCTGTCTACTTTTTAATTGAACATTTTTTATTCCATTTTATCTCCACTATGAAATTTTTATACTTGTTAAAGTATGTTTTTGATAGATGCCGTGGGGTTTACAATAAACTTCTTTTTTTTCCTCTTTTTTTTTTTTTTTTTTTTGAGACAAAGTCTTGCTCTGTCACGCCTAGGCTGGAATGCAGTGGAGCAATCTCAGCTCACTGCAACCTCCAGCTCCCTGATAAAGCAATTCCCCTGCCTCAGCCTCCTGAGTAGCTGGGATTACAGGTGCATGCCACCATGCCTGGCTAATTTTTTTTGTATTTTTCACAGAGATGGGATTTCACCATGTTGGCCATATTGGTCTTAAACTCCCGACCTCAGGCAATCTGACCACCCTCCCAAAGTGCTGGGATTACAGGTGTGAGCAACTGTACCCGGCCAATATAATTATTTAATTAATCACATTCTACCTTCAAATAAACTTCAGGCCTAGTTGACTTTACTGACAAATTCTACCAGGCACTTCAGGAAGAAGTGATGTCAATCCTTATTTTTCTCTGGCCACAATCAAGATTTTTGTTTTCAGTTCTCACCACTTTGATTATGATATATCTAGGCATGGATTTCTTTGGATTTATCATGTTTGGAGTTTACTAAGCTTGAATTTATAATTTTATGTCTTTTGCCAAATTTGGGAAGTTTTACCCATTATTCCTTTAAATACTTTTTTCTGCACCATTTTCATTCTTCTTTTCTTCTGGGATTTAAAATATATGAATTATTTCTGGAATTTTTCATTTAATATTTTTGAACTGTGGGTGACCACAGTTGGCTATGGATAACTGAAATCACAAAAAGTGAAACCAAAGATAAGGGGGGAATACTATACATAAATTATAGCACAATCAACTTTATTTCTAAAAAGCTATGCTGTGTTATTTCTATATTGGTGGGTGGGGATGTATGGCACTATTCCTCAAATATAACACTATGAGAATTTGAGTAAAATGGAGCTAGTTGAAGTTAATAATTTTGACATGAAATTCAAATGTATTTTGTAAGTTATTAAAATATCCAGTGGCCCAAAGTTTCTTTTGTATCTATAAAAAGATATTCTAAAACCACCCAGAAAGTTTAATTAGTTAATACTAGTGCCTACATGTACTTTGTTATAGTAGAACAATACTTATCCAGTATTGAGGAATTTCTGAAACTTGAGAATCCTTTTTAGTTTAAAGATAATTAATACAATGACACCAACCAAGGCAACCTCTGGGTCCTTTTCTCTCTTTTAAGAGACTAGCACAGATATTTATTGTCAAAATATGATAATTCCAGTAGACAGTTTGGCACCTCTCAGGGACAGTCAAGTGATTTTAGATGCTAATAGATAAAACAGAAATGTGAGGGACTAGTTGATCTCTTAAGGCACCAGAGCCAAAAAGTTCATTTCCTGATCTCAGAGATAAATTGTTATTGTAACATAACCTATTTGCAAATAGTGAGATCTCATACATCTTAGAATTTTTTTAGAAAAGTGGAATTTAATTGAATTTTCTGCTTGATCTTTCAGAGTTCTATAACCTCCTAACTAAAATGAAGGGTTCGAAATCAGATATCTATTTCTCATGACTCATATGTTTAGAACTATTTTTTTCATACACATACTTGTTATTTTATTTTTTCATCCCATATAGACATTTGACTGAAATGTAGAAAAATAATTTATTGAATTGAGAAAATATAAACTCATTGAACAATCTTTCAAGTATTTTGAATAAAAATTCAAATTATTATGGATTGCCTGGAATTGTTAAGACTATCAGAAGGTCACCTCACAGATAGCTAACTAGTATACACCCTGAAAAACAGAATGTAGAAGTGGGTTTTATAAAGGCTGACCTGTATAATAAAGGAGGACCCAGCATGTATAATTTTTCCTCTAACACTTTAAGACGACTAATTTGAGGACTTATGGTTTCTCACCACTGCACTTTTGCAGCTTTCAAGAAAATACTTGAGTTTTAAATGCCCGGGTGATTTAAGACTCTTTAAGGAGTTACCTTAACAATAGAATTGGTTGGGTTTTTCTGATATTGTATTTTCATAAGAAAAATTTCAGTGGTAAATATTTATTTTTCCTTGCTTATAGACTTCGCATATCATTTAAGTGGATGGTTCGAGCTTTCTCTGGATACTTAGCTACAGATCAACTCTTGCTTTTATGGGACAGAATCCTAGGATACAACTCTCTGGAAATTCTTGCTGGTAAGAGTAAATGCTTGTCTGTAAAACACATGCTGTTTCTATAATAAGGCCCCTTTTCTTCCTAACATTCATCATCTGTAACTGGAATTTGTCATTTCTAATTCATGAACAATTAAGAGATCATCTGGCTTCGAAGGTAAGTACCAACAAAAACTGCAGTCTTGATACGTTCATGTAACTGCACACCAACCTACTTCTAGTCTTTCTTCCCAGCTCCCAGAAAAGTTTATTTTCCCTTCCCTTACCCTCTCCCCTTTGAGTCCAGCCAGATCTCACTGTCTCCCAGCACCTATAGGGTCTGTGAAGCAGAGTGTAGATATACTTCCCTCCACTCGGGACTCCCCTGGCTACCTTAGCATTCTGCTGTATGCCCCATCTCAACACCTAATATCCTAACTGAGGCTAAGCCTCCCTACATGGCTGAAACCTCAGCTCTTCTGTGCCTGTTTACAGATGAATTTGAAACCTTTTCTTTTTTACTAACACTCTCTGACTTCTGCCCTGGTGGCTGAGTTCCGCCTTTTAGATATTCTCTCAGACCAAAAACTATTTCATCTTTTTTTTCAGGAAGCTACAAGTTTATCTTTTATTTAATAATTAAGTATTTCTTACAACAGATAACACGCCCAAAGCAATTTTATGATTATAAATAGGGCATATATTTCTTTTTAATTATATTATTTTGCTTCCCTTGTGCACAATAAACTAAATTATTTTATAATTGAGATTATCAGGAAATTCAAATAATAATTACAATGTTTTCACAATAGATAAGGATCAGAAGAGTTGGCAGGATATTCCCATACCTTGAATTGATAGCATTATAAAATCATGTGTCTGGGCTGCTGTGAAAATACAGCTTAGTTAAAGAAGAACATGATAGGAAGATTCTCAAGGTACCATATTGGCATATTCAGGGGTTTTTTTCTTTCTTTTTTTTTTTTTGAGACAGTCTCATTTTGTCACCCAAGCTGGGGTGCAGTGGCATGATCTTGGCTCACTGCAACCTCCACCTCCTGGGTTCAAGTGGTTCTCCTGCCTCAGCCTCCTGAATAGCTGAGATTACAGGTACCTGCCAGCACGCCCAGCTAATTTTTGTATTTTTAGTAGAGACGGGGTTTTACCTTGTTGGCCAGGTTGGTCTGAAACTCCTGACCTCAAGTGATCTGCCCGCCTCAGACTTCCAGAGTGCTGTGATTACAGGTGTGAGCCTCCACACCCAGCCTTAACATATTCTTGAGTGCTGTAAGGTCTATAGTTACTGGGTAGCATAGGTCCCTGGTAGCAATTACCCTGGTATAATCAGAGATATTGCTGATTGATGTTTTTAACAACTCCTAGTATCCTTGTCTCTCAATAATTTTTTAGAAACCTATACAAATATGAGTTAGGAAATAATGGTCTGCCCTCATTTATTTTGGTTGAATGGTAGTACCATATATAATCAAGCAACAGAAGGAATCCTCAAGGGCATTGGGTATAGCTTTTTCTAAACATTGCCCACAAGCCATTCTTACCCTTTGTTGGGACACTTCAGTATTGGGTAACCCCTGCCTTACCTGGTGGCCCATTTCATTTCTGGATAATATGGCTTGTTAAAATGTACTCCTGTTAAATCAAGGTAATTATCATGTTTTCTCTACCCTCACGTTTTCATCTCTCCCCAAAGTCTTCTGTTTTCTAAGCTAAGTAGCCTTGTTTTCTGCTATCATTCCTCAAGTGAGAGGACTGTAGACTTTTCACCAAATGTCTCTCTTCTGAGTATGCTAGAAAATTTGAAGAGTACTGTATATAGTATTTGGTATCATTTTGAAAAGACACTAAAGCACGTTAAAACAGAAGGCTCAATGGAAGAAAATACTTTCTAATAATTGGAATTTTTGCAAATTAGAATGGGTTCTTTATCTGTTAAATGAAGGGTCAGGAGGTTTAATACCTTGAAAGAAATGTTGAATTGGAAAACCTCAAGCCCTCTTTCAATTTGAATTCTCTCATTCTGTGCCTTATCACCCCTTAGCAAACTGAAGGAAATGAGAAATAAATGTATGTTGAATACTGCATTTGCTCTAAGCCAGGCACTCTTCTGTGAGCTCAATACTTAATAAAAAGGTTACTGAAGAATAGGTAGAAATGTAATCTGTATTATTGCGTCCACCCATTTTCCTTGAGTGCTTTAAGAAAATCTGCAGGGAAGAATTCTGGAACATCTAGAAATGGAACTAGACTGAAGGAAGCTCCCTTACCATGGAATTCAGATAAAGAACCACAGGGTAATTTCATATAAATGTATACAAATTATTTTGATTATTTCGTACACATCTGGTATGAGTATTTTGGAACCAGCTTTTTCTGTTCAAGTGGGTTATTATGTAGTCTTGAGAAATATTTTCTTAAGTATCACTGGCTTTAATTGTGAATTAATTAGAGCCTTTTGAAGAACAGTTTAAAGCAAAGTTATCTTAATGTTCTTGATAGAGTTGCTTAGAATTAAAGTAATAAGACCAAAAGAAAATATCAGAGTCTCTATGTTTTATATGAAGCATAATTTCAGTTGAAAATATCCCAAAGTGTAGACCTTTCCTTCTTGGCAAACAAATCTGTTCTGTGGAAGGGCTGGGCAAACCAAACATGAAGCAGATGGAGAGGAACTTCTGTGATGTGACACCAAGATAAATAAAGGTTACAAGCACACAAGCATTTTGGTTGCTGAGGTCAATTAGTGAACTGCTCCTTTTTTCCCCTTCTTATCTACCTTTGGAAAAACAGTTTCCCACTATGTAAAACTCTTTCCTGCTAGAGCAGAAAATTTGGCCAGGCTGTCAAGCTTTCAGCAATTCTGTTAACTCATACACAAAAAATGAAGTAGTAGTCATATTCCTTAACTGCTAAAATGCCTGCATTATACAAAATATGATTCCAGATATTAGGAAGCTGTAAAAAATTGTTGGTATACAGAAATAGTTTTCTTTGATATTCTTGTAAACATGAAACTCAGTGACTTTAAAGTATTCATGTTTTCTCCATTTCAGTTAAGGAGTACATCATTTGTCACAGATCTCTTCTATCTACTGTTACGTATTCAATAACTCCAGCTGACTTGACTTTTTAAATTTTACCATTACCATCATTTTTCTCCAGAATTTTTCTCTCTTAACGACTTCTAATGCTTTCTTGCTAGACTGTCCAAAATCTCTTGTCCCCTAGAAAAGTGCCTGTGCTTCCCAGTCACCGGCTGCACTCTGCCTCTCTCTGGGGAGATTAAGAAGCCTGGCTCCTGACTTCTATTCCTCAGGCACAATGACTGTAGCAGCATCCTTCATGCCATCTCTGGAAAGCTATTCCGATAGATAGCAGAACCTATGATTCTTAGGAAAGCACGCAGATTTTCACGTCAGAGATGAGTGGTTCTTGCTTACCTTCAGTTTCAATAGTGTCTTCACATAGTGGTTAGGTGCAAAACTCCAGAGCCAAGGTTGAGTATTGGCTTTACTATTTTCTACCTGTGTGCCTCTGAATGTGTCACCCCCACTCACTGTGCCTCACTCTCTGTATTAGTAAAATAGGCCACTAATAATATTTAACTCACAGAATTGGTATGAGAATTACTTATTCTTGTAAAAATATATTTTAAAAAATATATGTGTTTGCATTAGGTATGCAGTATAACTAGGAAGCAGTCTTCCAAATAATTTTGAGTGTTTCTTTCTTTTCCTTTTTCTTTTTCTTTTCTTTCTTTCTTTCTTTTTTATTTATTTATTTTTTGAGACAAGATCTCACTCTGTTACCCAGGCTAGAATGCATGGCACAATCATAGCTTACTGCAGCCTAGAACTCCTGGGCTCAAGCAATCCTCTGCCTCAGCCTCCCGGGTAGCTGGGGCTACAGGCATGCACCACCATCCCTGGCTTATTTTTTAACTTTTTGTAAAGATGAGGATCTTTCTTTGTTGTTCAGTCTGGTCTTCAACTCCTGAGGTCACACAGTCCTCCTGTCTCAGCCTCCCAAAGCACTGGAATTGCAGGCATAGGTCACTGTGCCCAGTATTTTGAATATTTCTTACATTAATTTCCCAAACTTCAATGATTTGTTGGCTAGAGAATGCACTGCCATCACTGGTGATGGAGAGAAAAGGAGATTAAGTCAAGAGTTAGCTCCAAGCAGCACCATCTCCTTATCAGAGTTACCTGCCTCTTAAATGAGTCCTTCCGTTGTTTATGACTCACTCCCTCACATGGAGTTTTACAGTAAGTTATATAAGCTTTGCATGTTAGCATTACTCCTTTTTCATATGCATATGTTTAATGGAAACAATAACCCAAAGGTTGTTTTAAATTTTTTTTAAGACAGGTTCTTGACATATTGCCAAGGCTGTCAAACTCCTAAGCTCAAGACACTTCTGCCTCAGCTTCCCAGTTGGCTGGGACTACAGGTGTGCACCACCATGCCTGGCTTCCATGCTGTTTTCTACTTAATATATATTATTATTATTTAAGTTGTCCTGTAATGTTTGGATTTTTTCTGTAGCCAACATTGAATTAAATGTCAGGATCAACCCCACAGCAGCCCTCCCTACAGATATATCCATTTGTGACACTCTAAGAAAAGTCAGTGCTGTGTATAAAAATATAACAAAATAATTATAAAAACATTTTTTAAGAAAAGGCTTTAAAATCATGTTTCTATTAGGACACCTCCTTGGTACATATGAAACATAATCTATTTAAAAATTCAGCCTCCATGTAACTTTTCAGAAGCCTCTCTACCACATTAGTAAGAAATACCTGCACCACGATAAACCAGTCGTTAGGCCAGGCATAGTGGGTCACCCCTGTAATCCTAGCACTTTGGGTGGGTGAGGCAGGAGGATCACCTGAGCCCAGTAATTCAAGACCAGCCTAGGCAACATAATAAGACCCCATGTCTACAAAAAAAAAAAAAAAATAACTAAGAAAAGAAAAATTAACTGGGCTGGTGACATGTACCTGTAGTCCTAGCTACTTGGGAGGCTTAGGCAGGAGGATCGCATGTGATTAGACGTTTGAGGCTGCAGTGAGCTATGATCATGCCTCTGCACTCCAGCCTGGGAGACAGAGCAAGACCTTATCTCTTAAAAAAAAAAAAAAAAAAATCACAGACTCATGAGATCTTCATTCCATTTTAAAATGGTTTAAGTTGTAGGTTTGAAAGAAATAACTTACAAAATAGCTTTTTTAAGACCGCTGATTTTTCCTTTTTCTCCAAACTGTGGTATTCAGCTTGTCTAGCCATCAGGCACTGGTCTCTAGAGCAGACAATTCCCATTCATCACCAATCATCACCAAGCCTTAACTCAGAATGTGGGGGTATGGTCGGTTGTGTAAAGCACTAGTTCTAAGCTTCCTTGCAGTGGGTTTTGGGCAGAGCAAAGTGGTAGCCGTGCCGGGCTGATGAGTCGGCCAGCAGTTGAAATAGTGTGCATTCCTTTCCAGTGCTGGCAGCTGCCGTGTTTGCCTTCCGAGCAGTGAACCTGATGGAGGTGACATCACTGGCTGCAGCTGAAGTAAGGATAAGTTTCACTCAGATGGGATGGAAATAGTTTCTGAGAGATTGCCAGGCAGTCATTTTAGTGTCTGATGCATAGGACACACATTACTTGTAGCCAAATTTTTTAACTCGGGTGAAACATGTAAGTTCTGAGCTAATAATACTTAAGGATTCAGATTGCTTTAATTACTTGAGAAAAGTCTTCTTATGAAGGAGTAATAAACAAGATTATTGTAGGAAACCATTATAACCATGTGGGAAACCAGATACCTGGTAATTTTAACGGAAATGATTGGAGCTTATGTTGCTTTTTTGTATGGTTCATGTCCATGCATTATTTTCACAGAAGAAAAACTACTTGAGAGAGTTAAAGAGCATATATTTGAATGATATAGTGAAGTTACATGGGCTTTTTTGGTTGTTTTAAATTGTGAGTTAATTATTTAAAGCTGATTTCTTTTCAGTGGTATAATTTATACCTAAAATATGGTTCAATTAAATAGTGCTTACTGTATTATTCTGTTATCTTTTATAAAAATATAACTTTTTCCTTAAAATAGCTGCCTGCATTTTTGTTTAAAGGAAAGAGGATGTTTATCCATCTTGCAACTGAATAAACATTAGTTCCATCTCCAAACGATTTCCTGCAGCCAGTTACTCCTTACACTAGAATAACAGGACTAGGATTCATAATGTACACTTATTTATAGAAGCAAGTTGAAATGTTAAACCTTTTATAAACTCATGCTACCTTGGATATTTGAAGAAGACTGAGGCTAACATCCAGGTTATTTTCTACAGCATGTTTTAGCATTTTGCACATGTACTAACATTAAGATATTCAGAAAAGAGAAGGAAGGGTGTAGTTTTAGTACTAAGATTTAGAACAAATCCAAAGAGCTTAGTGTCAAAATTACATTGTAAAGATGTTTATCGTATTTCATAGACTTTGCTAATAATAATTCTTTTTATTTTTTGTTTCAGGCAGTTCTTGCTGACCTTTCTACTTTAAAAGTTATGCCTCTTCTTCAAATTTTTCTGTTTGCTACTGTCACCTGATCTTCACAGTCACTGACAACACATCTAGTTTTTCATTAGAAAGAAATCATGAACTATGCAAACTCTGCATAAGACCAAAATGAAACTTTGCATATAAGCCAATAAAGATCATGTTCCCTCTTCTGTTAAACCTAAGTAGTTTCTCACTTTTTGAAACAATAACTCTGCACCAAATATTGCATCGCATGCTGCTGATTTTCAAGAGAGAAGCAATAAACACAACTTCTGCTAAATTGAGCATTATATATATATATATGATATTATAATATACATATAATCCTGACTTGTAAATGGCATGTAATAATATATGCAATAAGAACTAAAGATACTGTAATAAACTTCAAGAGGTAATGTAGCTTCTTGGATAATTCTTTTATGCCAGTTTATAAATTTATCTCTGGATATAGTATTGTTTTGTCTCATTAATTGCTCTTCACTCAGAGCCGGGATGGGGTAGGGTGTGAGAACACTTGAAAAATATATTGCTTTTAAGTAGGAATCCAAAGGTTGCTTAAATGATGTTTTAAGCAACTTTTTACACCCCAGGGATTTTTCTACATTTCTCTCCATTTTATTTTTCTCTTTAAACATCTCTACTGGGGAAGATCAATACAATTGTCTCCATCTGACAATATTTTATGCTTGACTCTCTGAAAGCCAGAAAATTATGGTGATCCCTTTTCACTTGTCAACCTTGCTTCTCTTGCTTAAAAGACTTGACATTGCTGAGGCCTGTTGCCAGCTTCTGTTGCTCTGTAACTAGATAAGGAAGACACCCAAGAGAATGAAGAGACAAAACCACATTCACTTTTACTGAAGCTTGGTTTAACAAGGTTTACTTCTAGGGCAGAACAGCTGAGAGAAATTAAAAGCAGAAAGTAGGCATTCATTCTAGAACTGCAGACATTATGCAAGGCAGCCGCCTTATTTTGGGCTTTATTGTAAATAAAGGGTCTTATTTTATATTACATCCTAAAGACCTACCATTTCTGTAATATGGAATATTACAGTATATGGGGAAAAAAGTCCAAAAACTATTGTTCTTTGATTTTAGTTTCAAATTTAAGATGCTGATCACTTCACTAAAATTCTAAATCTAGATTGATACTCTTATTGATTACCTAGAATTTTATTAAGTTTTACCCAAATGTATTTTATGAGTCTTTTATTTTGGAGTACATATTAGGAAACACACTTGTTGATTTACTAAGGGCTGAATAACAATTTATTCTGTGATTGATTCTTAATAAACCCCATTTTATTGCTTTTGAAGGTGATGTGGTTATAATCCTATGCTTTGCCATTCTTTGTTTGCACACACCCATGACTATTATCTATTCTGAGAAAATGGCTAAATATTAGGAGGAGAGTGAGTTTTAAATGATCTGGTTAAAATGCATACTAATATGCCCATCTTTGTAATAGTCTAGTACACTACGCTGGAGAATTTTGGTCCTCAGATGGGGGAATTTTGGTCCTTCTGTAAATCCCTAGATAATTTAATGTCTCTTATCTGTAATTGGGGTTGAGGGGCTGGTGACAAATGGTAGGAAATTATTGCGTCTGCTCTGTTTACCTTACAGGTAGATAAGAACCTGTAGGACCAAATGAGAAAATGCTATATTTGAAAGTAACTTTTTAAACTGCAAAGCATCAAGCAAATGAAAGATACTGTTGACTTAGTTTGTATATAATGTTTTAAGGTCAAGTGGTAGAAGATGATATGTGAAGAATACATAACTTCATTAGCATTTCTATCATTTAACCTGATAATTTAAGACTGTGTCTATAAAATGAATGGGCCATGCCATAGCAGATCCTTTCATTTGAACCAGGTGGCTCTAGGCGGTAGATCTGAATCTGAATCCCAAAGCTAGACCTGGTTGACAGCCACCCAATTTGCTGCTTCCCCAGACCCCTCTCTGCCAAGCACTGCTCCTGGTTACTTGTTAAAACACTACACTGATGGTCATCAGGCTGCCTTGCCCACCTTTTTTTTTTTTGACACAGTCTGGCTTTGTCACCCAGGCTGGAGTACCATGATGCAATCTCGGCTCATTGCAGCCTCCACCTCCTGGGTTCAAGTGATTCTGCTGCCTCAGCCTCCCAAGTAGCAGGGACTACAGGCATGCGCTATCACATCCAGCTAATTTTTTGTATTTTTAGTAGAGATGGGTTTTCACCATGTCGGCCAGCCTGGTCTCGAACTCCTGACCTCAGGTGATCCACTCGCCTCAGCCTCCCAAAGTGCTGGGATTACAGGTGTGACTCACCACGCTGGACCTGTCTACTCCGTCTTTAAACACATCTCCTTAGGCTCCCTCATTTGGCATCCTTCCTCTTGCATCCTCCTGTGCCATCACCTACCAACCCCTGACACCCCCTTCACATCTGCTTTGACAGTGATCACAAGGATTAGAGCAAACAGCGATACGTTGACATTGATGTAGCCTAATAGGCAAATTCTATTTGGTTCTTCAGGATGTCAGTTCACCCACTAATGTGATATGTTATGACTTTATAGTATGGAAGAGTTTATTGAATAATCTTTTTGTTGAGAATGCTTTGGTAATGCATTGTTCTGACTGATTGAAATTTCCAGCTTGTCTTAACTTCACAGCGCCCCACTGTGGAAACATCGGGACCACTAAGCTTGTGTTGTCTCAGCCTTCTACTTCAGAATTTAGCTTTATCTCTCCCCCTGATCTGTCTTCTTCCTTCTTGCCTTAAGAAGTGTCTAGTCAAGTCCTATAGTTCTCCAAATGCAGATTTGATTGTCCACTTCTGTGCTTGAAAAACTCAACTTCTCATTGCTTAAAGGATAAAGGCTAGGCTCTGTATCATAACTGGAAAAATTCTTCACCACTTGGTCTTTTCATTCCTTATGTTCCCACAATGATCCATTATCCGATACCTCAGATTCTCAACCAGATATGGCTTTTCATTTTGTCTCCGCCAAAATCTTCTCCATTTCTTAAGGCTTCCCTCAAAATTTTTTCTCTGTTGTGAAGATACCATGGATCCTATAAATTAATTATGCCCTTCTCTTTGTTCTCATAAGACTGTTCACCCACTCATATAATGCTTATACTATTAAGTAATAGCTTTTTGCATATGATTCTGATTTTGTCACTTTATTCTCAAGGCAGTTTTCATTGACTTGTCCTAAATGTGGAATATACAAGCAGAAATTTGTCCATAAGTGTCTGTATCCCTTGACCTGCTCAGAAATTGTTGGGATCTGTTTTCTGTAAAACATAATTTCTTCTTTGTATCTAGTCTTCCATCTTCCACAAATGCTCTGATTTTTCTTTAGAGATCCACCCCTTCCCCATGTGCATCAGGTGAGGCTGACTCACATCCCCAAGAGCTCCGGGACCTAGCCAAGTAGTCACCAGGTACTGTTCCTCTAGCCATGGGGATTGCTTCAGGACCAGTGTGAAATCTGAGACCAATGAGAGCTTGTGAAACTTAATTAGGAAGCTTTGGTTTAATCTTTCAGGGAAGCTGGATATGAAAAAGAAAGGATGTAGGGTCTGTAGCTGCTGCAATCTAGGAATAGAGAGAAGGAAAAGCTGCTCTTTTGGCCTTCTTGATCCCCAGATCGTGCTGCACCAATCTACCTCTGGGCAATTTTTTTACAAGACCCAAAGGATTTTCTTTTTAACAGAAAGGATCCTAACTGATGGCAGTTATTTTCCTTTTAGGTGATGCACAAAAATAGAACTATCATTATTTGGTGTAGAACCCCTGTCTACACACTGCCCAAACTAGAGTAGTATATTTTAACCTCTTCTAGTCAAGACACAACCATGATCTTACAGGTATAAATTGTATATTTCAGACCAACTGAACTACTCAAAGTACCTAATACAAGGTACGTATTTTGCCTTTGGCCCCTTGCCCATACAACTTCCTCTGCTTAGAATGCCTTCTCTTCCCTCTTTGCCTAACTCTTACTTGTACATCAAAACCCTTCTCAGGTGCTGCATCATCAGGGGAGACTGCTTTTCTAATGAATACTCAACCCCAACACATACAGAAGATGTATTATAATCAATTTAGCTTGTCCTTCACTGCCACTAGACTGTGACCCTTTGAGGACAAAATTGGATTCTTTTTCAGCCATATATTTCTAGAACCTAGCATTGTGTTTGCCCCATAATAGGCATTAGTAAATGTTTATTGAATGAACAAATGAAGTTACCTATTTTAATTCACTCATTTTACTGATAAAGGAATTTACCTATCCAGTGTCATCAGGTTATTTGCTATTTTACTCACCAGGTTGACTTTGGAAATCCAAAAGGAAAGAATATTTTCAGAGGAAAAAATGTAAATGCTTCAGTCACTCCTTTTTTTTTCATTTAAGTTAACTTTATTAAGGTATAATTTATGTACAATAAAATTACATGTAAATTTTATGTAAAATAAAATGCATTTTAAGTGTACAGTTCTATAAGGCTTAACAAATATATATACCCATGTCACCACCACCACATCAAGGTATAAAAAATCAACTTAGGTAAACTCCTAAGGTATTTACCCCAGATAAATGAAGACACATGTCTCCATGAAGGCTTGTGCACAAATGTTTATAGTAGCTGTAACCATAAAACACCCAAACTGAAAACAGCATGAATGTACATTAACAATGGTAAATAAACGAATTGTGAAATACTCATACAATGTAACCCTAGGCAGTAATAAAAAGGAATGAACCACTGATCACACAATATGGATTTCTATCACCCGATAGTTCTTTTTTTGCCCTTTCCCATCCAATCCCCCATACATACATTCACTCCACTACTAATCGGCTTCTGTTCCCAAAGATTAGATTCATTTTTCTAGTTTCATGTAAATGGAATCATTTTTTGTGTCTGGCTTCTTTTGCTCAACATGTTTTGAGATTCATCCATATTGTGTGATCAGTAGTTCATTCCTTTTTATTACTGCCTAGGGTTACATTGTATGAGTATTTCACAATTCGTTTATTTACCATTGTTAATGTACATTCATGTTGTTTTCAGTTTGGGTGTTTTATGGTTACAGCTACTATAAACATTTGTGCACAAGCTTTCATGGAGACATGTGTCTTCATTTATCTGGGGTAAATACCTTGGGAGTATTTATTTCTGGGTTATGTGCAAGCACATGTTTAACTTTGAAGGAAGCCTCCAAACTCTTCTGAAGTGGTTCTACTGTTTTATATTGCCACCAACAGTATATGAGTTCCAGTGTTTCCCAGTCTTTACTACCAACAGTTGGTGTTAGCATGTTAGTGGTTTTACTTAGTATTTTCCAAATGATTTTGAGCATATTTTCCATTTGCCATTTATACATATTCTTTTGTAAAGGATCTCTTCAAATATTTTGTCCATTTTAAATCAATTATCTTACTAAGTTATAGGCTGGGCATGGTGGCTCAGATTAAGTGCCTCTAATCCCACCACTTTGGGAGGCTGAGGCAGGCAGATGGCTTGAGCCCAGAGTTCGAGACCAGCTTGGGCAATGTGGTAAAATCACGGCCCTACAAAAAATACAAAACTTTAGCCAGGTATGGTGGTGCACACCTGTAGTTTCAACTACTGGGGATGGGGGGGTGGGATGCTGAAGTGGGACGATCTTTTGAGCCTGGAGGTTAAGGCTGCATTGAGCTGTGATCCCACCGCTGCATTCCAGCCTGGATGACAGAGTGAGACCTTGTCTTCAAACAAAGTTGTAAGGAGTTTTTATTCTGGATGCAGTATATGGTTTGCAAAATTTTCTCCCAGCCTAAAGGGTAGTTGATTTTCTTAACTATGAGTTAGTTAATATTCTTAATGTTCTTTTAAAGAGAAAAAGTTTTAATTTTATTGAGGTCCATTTTATCTATTTTTTCTTTTATGGTTTATATTTTTTGCTTCCTCTCCAAGAAATCTTCGCTTAAGTCCAAGTCACAAAGAGTTTTTTCCCTATGTTTTCTTCTAGAAAGTTCAAAGATTAACTCAGACATTTAGGTTTATTATCCCTTTTCTTGCAAGTTAATTTTTGTATATGATGCAAATTAAGGGTTGAGGTTTTGTTTTTGCACAATCATTTGCTGAAGAGACTGTCTTTTCCCTTTTACATCAGCAGCTTTGTATAAAACTAACTGATCATATATACAGGCTGTTTTCTAGACCCTCTATTCTGTTCCATGAATTTTTGCCTGCCCTGTTTGCAATATTACACTGTCTTGATTTTTGTAGTTTTATAGTAAATCTTGAAATCAGGTAGTATAAGTCCTCTAACTTTATTCACGTATGTCAAAATTATTGTGCTATTCTAGCTTCTTTGCATTTCTAAATAACTTTTTAATCTGTATCAAAAGAAAAGTCTGCTTTGATTTTTACTGAGATAGCATTTGCTCTATAGATCGGTTTGGAAATAATTGATATGTTTAACAAATGTTGAGTCCTCCAATCCATAAACATGGTATCTCTCTCCATTTATTTAAATCTGCTTTAATTTTACTCAGTAATATTTTATAGTATTCAGTGTACAGTTCTTGCACATATTTTGTTAAAATTATCACTCATTCTTTCACATTTTTGATGCCATTGTATTTAAATAATGGTATTTTTCTTTTTATTTCCAATCGTTTGTTATTAAGATGTAAAATACAGTTTATATTTTTATTGACCTTGTATCCTGAGACCTTGCTAAACTTAAAACTTCTGCTATCCTTTTTTGTAGCTTCCTTGGGATTTTCCACATATCTAGTGTGTCATCCATAAATAAAGAAAATTTTGTTTCTTTCAAATCTGTATGCTTCTTTCCTTATTCACTGACTAGAACTTGCAATTGAATACAGAAGTGTCGTAGCTTACCTAATTTTAAATGAAATGTCCTTATTTCTTGAATAAGTGCCACAAATATTTTTAAGTATTTATGAACAATAGTTTGGCCAATTTAGGTATAAAACAGTAGGGGAGGCTGGGCATTGTGGCTCACGCCTATAAACCCAGCACTTTGGGAGGCCGAGGTGGGTAGATCACTTGAGGTCAGGAGCTCGAGACCAATCTCTGTTTCTACTAAACCCTGTCTCTAAAAATACAAAAAAAAAAAAAAAAAAAAAAAAAGGAAAAAAGAAAGAAAAAGAAAAATTAGCTGGGTATGGTGGCACATGCCTGTAATCAATCCCAGCTACTTGGGCGACTGAGGCAGGAGAATCACTTCAACCTGAAAGATGAGAGTTGCAGTGAGCCGAGGTCATGCCACCGCACTTCAGCCTGGGTGACAGAGTGAGACTGTCACAAAAAAGCATAAATACATACATACATACAAAAACAGTAGGGGAAAGTTAGACAGATTGAGAAAGAGGTGAGGAGAAATACTGACATAGAGAGTAGATAGATTTTTATGTTGCTGATCATTCACATGGCTTCCCTTTAACTTAAACAGTTGGCTTTGGGTATTATCAATGCCTTTGTCATATTAATTAGAAAGTGGTTTTTAAATTACTTCTTCATCTATTATTTATACTTAAAACTTTTTTCTTAGATATGTAGTGTACATATACTTACTCAACAAATATTGAATACTTAACTCTGAGCAAGGTAAGTATTGTGCTGGACCTTCAATGTATATGAGTATTTGTGTGATTGCCTTTCAAATATGGTAAGAGACAGTGCCCTCTACAACAATAGAATCTTAGCACCTCTTTCTTAAAGTAATGGTGCCATCCTTCCTATGATAGTAAAAATAATGGTTCCTCAAAGATATTCATGTTCTAATTCCTGAAAACTCTGAATGTGTTACGTTACAGGCAAAAGGGACTTGCTGATGTTATTAACAATTTTGAGATGGGGAGATTATTATAGATTATTAGGTGGGCCCAAGGTAATGACAAGTGTTCTTAAAAGTGAAACAGGGAAACAGGAGGGTATGAGTCACAGAGGGATATGAAGGTGTCACACAGCTGTCTTTAAAAATGGAGGGAGGGGCCATGAGCCAAGGAATACAGGCAGCCTCTAGAAGCTGGCAGGAAATGGAATCTCCATGTGACCCTCCAGAAGGAATGCATTCCTACTGACATCTTGATTGTAGGACTTTTGACCTCCAGAGCTGTAAGATAATAATGTTGTATTATTTTAAGCTCCTGGGTGGTTGATAGTTTGTGACAGCAAAAGGAGGCAATTAATCCATCTCCTCTCAGCTAAATTGAGTTTACTGTATTAACTGTAACATATGAAAATAATAAGTTCACATTGTCTTAATAACCTTTTTTATAAAATAGATGGTTCTACCTGTCTAATTTCTCTTGTGTGGTTTTGATAATGATCTAATGTAAACCAAAATAAAATTATAAGATCTCCCGGCCATCTAAATGGACTTCCTCTTCAGCCAGGGCTCTTAACCTGAAAGACTGGTTCAGGCCATGAAGGGAAGTGAGGTTGGACTTGCCTCATTATACATCTCCAGCATTAACACCAACATTGACTTTAAGTCTGATAAGAAACATTTTAGAGCCTATTATCTCCGAAGCCTGCTAGCTAAAAAGTTTCATCCGCACGATACAACTTTGGTCTCCACAAATCCAAACATTCCTTTCTGTTGATCCCAAGTCTTCAGACAAACTCAACCAATTGTCAACCAGGAAATGTTTAAATTTACCTATAGCCTGAAAGCCTCCCCAACTCCCACCTTGAGTTGTCCCACCTTTCTGGACCAAACCAATGGCTTCCTTAAATGTGCTTGATTGATGTTTCATGCCTCCCTAATATGCATCCCAACCACCTTGGAAACCTGTCTCAGATTTTCTGGGTCTACACAAGTAAGATAAAATATATAAAAGTATTTCGAATACTAACTTCTACTGTTCTGGTGCTGACAGGGAAAAGACCACAGAAAGTTGGGGAAGTGTGATGGAGGAAGAGGGGAAGTATATTACCAAGTTCTAAGGTTTCCTTCCATGTGGAAGGATCTCACTGGTGTAATTGACCTTGTATCCTGAGACTTTACTGAACTTACTACTTCTACTATCCTTTTTTGAAGCTTCCCTGAGTGATGTAAATAAATAAATATAAATACTTTTCTATAAATAGAAAAGTATGCTTCTTTCAAATATGTATGCCTATTGCTTCTCTTTAATTTCTTATTTACTGACTAGAACTTGCAATTAAATATAAAAGTGTTACAGCTCACCTAATTTTAAATGAAATGTACTCTTTTGAATAAGTTTAACAAGTATTTTAAGATCTTTATCAATGTAATATTTTGGCTGATAGCTGGTTCTCACTCCCTCCTCCCCTGGAGAAGAATGAATTGTATTACTGATGAGGTCAGGATATGCGAATGGGCTTTTAAAGCCAACCTCCATCTCTCATCTTTTTCTTGGAATCCGGCTGCCCACAGTGAACTGCTCTGCAGTGCTCCTCTAGTCCTTGACCTTTACAAAGTCTAGATCCCATAGTATGGAATTGGGGGTGGGGAGGGGTTGTAGTTGTTCAGGAGCCTGTGACTAACTCAGTTTTTAAAAGTCCTTGCTGTTAAACTAAGTCACATCCCTTGGGATTAACTTTATCAGTAAGAAAGATGATATATCATCTTCTTTCATCAGCCTAGATTTTAATTTTCTCTCTCAAGTACTGCTGAACTCAGGCAGGAAGAAGAGTGCTATTTATTCGACTCCAAATCTCATTCAGCAGGACAGAGTTGAGGTTTGCAAGGAAGAACCTATAATGATGGGTCATGGAATGTAAACTATCAAAGAAGAGAAATAAAAGGTAAGGGGGGGTTGTGATCGATATGGATAAAGAGGAGGATGGATTAAAGGTTACAACAAAAAAGTAAAAGCATTTCTGAGAGAAGGGTAATTTTGAAGGCATAAGACCTGGAAGGTTAATATTGGTAGTCAGAATGCGATATTTGCATTTGAAATTTTGGAGATGGTGCCATTTTTCTTGATGCAAAAATCTAAGGCATATGGATAGCTGCAATAGGGTAGAAGAAAATATCATTGAAAATATGAGGAAGTCAAAAAACCAAGAGTCATGGTGTTAGATGAATCACTAGCATACATCCTGAAGTCACAAAGAACAGCAGGAGTAGGGTAGGGAAAAGAAGAAAACTTAGTTGCAAGCTCACTTCCCTGAGAATGAGAAGGAAAGACCCAGAGACTACTACTAGGTGACAGCAGCATGGAGGGGGAAGAGTAGTATAGCCAGATGGCATGAACCTCAAAGGAGCAGAAGGGGTTTGCAAGAGAGAAGGAGGAATAACACTCTAAAATTAGCATTGAGGAATAAGGTTGGTGCTGAAGCACTTTGGGGGAGGAGAGAAAAAAGATTTGGAAAGGCTTCAGAGAAACCATGTCCCCAAGATATAGCCTGCTTATAGTTAAGTGAGACTGTAAATAGATCTCCAGAAAAGAGACTGAAAAACCCAGAATTTTATTGATCTCATATTGAGAGCTGGGAATTCCAAAGAGTTAGGGGGGAATAGTTTATTAAGGAGAGGAATTTGGGGATGAGGGAGGTGGGGGGAAAATTAGGTCAGATTAAGGGAAAAAAGATTTTAGGTAATTGATGCCTGCAGAGTAAGTTCTGATAAGGAGTAGAGTAAACGGGGATGTGTAGATGAGCCATCCCCTCAGAGGTGACTGAGCAATAAACTCTACTGCTGTGATCTAGATCATTTATCTCTGGGGAGGGGTACCTACTGGCTCAGGAAGCCTGATATGGTCTAATTAAAGTCAGTTGCTTCTTAGACAGCAGGAGTTATGGTAGTCTTTGCTCTATTACTATGCTAGTTTGGTGACTCACCTATTTTTTCCCATCTACTGAATTTGGTTCTCCTCTCGTCCTCTTCTGACTTCTGCCTATTTATTGTTTCTACTTACTCCTGGCATGGGGAGGGATTATTTTAATTACTCAGACAAAATAATTCCTCCTTTTTAAGTGGAATCACTGCAAAGCTTTCTTGAAATATAAAGCAACAAATTATTTTTGATATACAACTTAATTTGCACCCATAACACATTCATGATACTCCACCAAAGAATTGGGTGATGGACAGATCCATGGGAGGGTTAGGTGGGGAGAGTGCACTGGAAAGACAGAGGAGAGACGGAGAGAGAGTCATACTATTTTTTATGTTGATGGACTTCCTCCCCTAGTGTAGGAGAAAATTAGGTGAATGAGTATTTCATGTGTGAGAGCCTAATGAAAATGGAAAGAACTGAATACATGTCTGGAAAGAAAGATTTGGGTCTGAGGATGGCAAATAGAACTTCACCCTGAGAGTGGTCCCCAACTCTGTCAGAGGTCTGAATAATGCCAGGCTGGTGGCCTGTAGGGGATCAGTCAGGGTCGTGGGAAAAATTATAGAAAAACACAAACCTTCTTGGAAGGCGGAAAGGTTTTGCAAAAGCCTTGGGAGAGTTGTGGCTGAAGGTAGCCTAATCCTCTTACCTCAAGCTAATAGCAAAGAGCAGATAACAAGGGAATGTAGAGGAGTTTATCTAAATAGCTTGTTTACCTATTTGCCCGGAAACCAACCTTTGATCATCCATGGGCATGACTGCTCTCTACTCAGGGGATCAGCAAGGTTAATTACCCACAAATGGTGTTTACTCAGGATCTTTGTCATTAAACCTGTACTTATTAAATATGAGGGTCACTGACCTTGGGGGCCACAGCACTTCCCTCGGGGTCAGTACACTGCAATCCCTCTAGCCCTGCAACCAAGCAAAAATCCTGTGTTTGCCTACATCTTTCATCCCTCATTCGGCCCAAGTCTGCCAGCCAGACTTGACAGTGGCCAAACACAGAAATGTTGTAATGGAGCACTGTATGAGCAATAGAAACTATACTCTCCTCAACAGAAGGCCAAACTAGTGCTTCGGCCCTAAGACAATGTCTGTGGCCTCAACCAGAGAATAGGAACAACACGTTGCTTCACCTTCCAGACTTCTCTTACCAATATAAATACTCAACCACTATGTGAGGACACCTCCCAGATTCTCAGGTCTTTCTCCACTCCTAAGTAACCAGCAGACACCTATTCCATGTGAGAGAGGTAATTGAAAGGGAAGGGGAGAGTTTCTATATCCATGCTTTGTAGAGAACTGTGCTTATTAGTAGCACCTGGACTGAAGACAAAAGGAATAGTCACTATTGTTGCAAATAAATATTTTCATATTTTTTTTTAGCTTCTACCAGGCATGGACTTGAATTCCAGCTCTACTATTTGTTAGCCATGTGACCTTGGTGATATTACCTAACCTGTAAGCTTTGATTTCTTCATCTATAAAATGTAAATCAGTACCAAATAGGGCTGGTTACTCTAAGATTAAATGAGATAATGCATATAGAATATTTAATACTAAACACTTCATTAAGAAAAAGAGAATCCATTCTTATCATCAAGGGTCATACAATTAATAGGTATGTATTCAAATAATGCACAAAATGGCAGGCTCAGAACAATAAGACCCATCAGAAGTGCTCTGCCATTTTGAGGGTTTCATGATTAATAAATCTGGGAGGTCAGGCATGCAGACTCACATCTGTAATCCCAACACTTTGAGAGGCTAAGGCAGGAGGGTTGCTTGAGCCCAGAAGTGCAAGGCTGTAATGAGCCATAACCATGCCACTGCACTCCAGCCTGGTGACAGAGTGAGACTCTATCTCAGTCAATCAATAAATAAAAAATAAATAAATAAAATGTTTTATACTCTATTTTCCTCATGTAGATTTATATTGCACATTAGTCCATTATAGACTCTGAATAAATAACCCGAATAACTCTATTTAACGCACAGATTCTCAACATCACATATACACAAACTATTAATATCTTGCAGAGATAGTCTTCCTCAAAACACCATTTGAATAAATTTCCATGTCTGTCCAAGATGGACTGAATGTTTGTGCCTTACTCCCAAAAGTCATATGTTAAAGCCCTAACCTCCAAAGTGATGGTGTAGAAAGCAGGTCCTTTGAGAGGTAATCAAGTCATCAAGGTAGAGCCACCATGATGGAATTTGTGTCCTTATAAGAAGAGAAAGAGACTAAAGCTCTCTTCCTTCTCGCTCTTCTTACACACAAAGCAAAGGTCATGTGAGCCCATAACAAGATGGCAGCACTATAAAGCAAGATTAAAGGTCTCAGAATAAATTTTACCTTGCCAGCACATTCATCTTGGGCTTCCCAGCCTCCAGAACTGTGAAAAATAAATTTCTGTAGTTTAAGCCACCCTGCTGCTAAATTTTGTTCTAGCAGCCTGAGCTGATTAAGACAATGGAATAACCAAAATCAAATTTGCCCATTTACCCTTTATCTGAAACAACTCAAAATCTAGACTACAAACTAATAGTTCTCAAGATATAGGACATCAAGCACTAAGGACAATGAGCCTTACAGTTGCCCTAACTTGCTGCCTGTGGAGTTTCCATGATGTAACATAAGAAGGAAGGACCCAGTAGGAACCTGGTATTCTTGCTGAGTTGAAGAGATGAGGTTGGGAGTTCCAGGAAGCCAAGATAAGAGTTCACAAGACAGAGAGCCAGAGAGGAGAGAGATGCGTAGAGGGAACTCTAAAGATCTGCAAAAGATCTCCTTGGCTTTTCAGCTGGGAGCTTTTCTCAGAACATGCATGTGAGGAACTTATCCAAGGCTGAAAAATAATTACTCAGAAGGATTAGAGGGAGTAATCTCTTGAGCTCACACAGGCCAGGAAGAGTGGCTGTTCCTACCAGCATTCATGGGTAGAATACTTAAAAGGGTTTTGCCTCGGGAGGGAATATTAATTGTAAACTAGATGCTGTTCTGGTCCTACCTAGCAAAGCTTAAAAGCAAGGCTCAAGAGGATTAAATGTCTGCCAAGTAACTTAACTTTGTTTCAGCATAACTCAAGACTCTAAGCATACAAAGATATCCAGCTCTCAAAGCAAAATATACAATATTTGGCATTTGATAAAAAATTACCAGACATGCTAAGACACAGGAAAATTAGACTCATGACAGGAACAAAATTAATAAATCAAAAGGGACTGTAAATGACACAGCTGACAGAATGTATAAACAAGAACATTACTTTTTATAACTTTGTCCTATTTATTAAAGAAGCCAAAGGAAAAATTGGCCATGTTAAGTACAGACATAGAAGATATTAAAAAGCTTCTGTATAAAAAATAGTGTCTAAGATGAAAAGGAGCTGCTTATGTTAACATCAGAATAGACAATTTAGAAGAAAAGATTAGTGAATCGTGAAGATATTGCAATAGAAACTATCCAAAATGAAATACAGAAAGATAAAAACTAAAAATAAAATAATAAAAAGATAGTCGATTAGATGTATGTCACCTTTAAACCACATAATATTTCAATTTGTAATTGAAATCTCCAAAGGAAGCAGGGGAGGATGTCTCAAAAAGTAATGGCAAAATGTTCTAAATTTGATGAAAAATAAAACTCTCATGTCCAAGAAGATCAAGCCCCAAGCACAAGAAACATGAAGAAAGTTACAAGAAGACAAGTGATAATAAATTTGGCTAAAACTAGTTATAAAAAGAAAATCTTAAAAGCAGCCCAGAAAGTTCTATCCATAGAGAGGAACAAGATTAAGGACAAAAACATATTACAAGCTAGAAGACAGTAGAGCAATGTCTTTAAAGCAATGAAAGAAAAATGTTGTCAATCTAGAATTCTTTATCCAGTAAAAATATCTTTCAAAGATGAATATGAAATAAAGATTTTTTTTACACATAACAGTAGCTGAAATT